AGAATGATCTATTCGATGATTTGCATCCAAATGATAGAACAGGAATGCAGAAACTAATCACCACGATTCTTCGAATGTTCAATTCCATAAGAACACAAACTTGCACTCTAGCTGCATTACCAGTAGGCTCGTCTAAAGCCACTGATAAAAACAACGCAGTAATGACGTCTAACAAACAGACAACAATGACAATCATATATACCTTTCACTGCAGTTTGTTCCGGTTTTTGTTTTAAGTGGTTTTTCTCACAAATCTTCTAAGCAGCGTAGTGTGTAAGAAAATGTACAACTTTACTTCGATAAAGAGTAGTTTTCTTGAAAAATATTGTATTTAAAAAAAAAGCTAAACGTTACACATTGCATAAACGAATTCCTGCTAGTAAAAGCTCTAAACCTATAAAACATTAGTAATCCCTATCCATAAAGTGTACTTTAATCTTCATTTGAGAAAACATTTTTCGTATGTGCCTGCGGTGCATCAGGCGTATATCGTTCCAGTACAACTTTATCCCCATCAGTTGATGTAATAACCAATTTTTGACCTTGAGGTTCAATAGTTTGTATATGAGCGATCAAATGATTAATAATACCTTCTTTTCGCATCGATTCCGAATCACCTCCCATCATTGTACTTATAGCGTCTTGGTGATGCCATTTATTTGTTGACGGATCATATTGAAGTTTACAACTGAGATGATTAATAACACTTGTTGATAGGCTAAAAGTATTTGCCTCCTGTTTAAACAGATGAAATTTAAAGCCAGTGCAATCGCTATGTTGTGGATAGTCAACCAATTTCCAATGTCCTTCAATATCGGTGAACTGTGCTGCCTGACGATCGAGTGAAGTTGGAATTTGTTGTGAACGAGTGATAGTAGCTTTACCACTGTATGTAAAACCGACGACTAGAGAGAAGAAGAATAGCGAGGGAGAAACTGACAAATAGTATCAAAACGTACTTGGAAACAGAGGCTTCGGATATGGTGCTTGCAGATGAAATGCTAAACCCAATGGTTTGTCGTTCAGGAAGAAATAAACTTTCATTTCACTCTGAGTTAAATTGAGTAGAATACCAAATTTATCGCCTTGTCTCAGAGGATCACCAAACGAACTGACTAAGAGACAGCTACCGTCCGATAGGTTACCTATAAAGAAAGGAAGACAGGCAGTTAAAAAGGTGCAAAAACGACTCCAGGGAGCTGATATTAGGCATACACCAGTTACAGTTAACCGAAACCGATTATAATGAACAGAAAGGGTAGAATTAGACGTAGTCTCAGTGTTGCTTTTGGAAGAGGTCATATAACTCAGGTTGATTCTAGCACAATAACGTTTTCATGATTCATATCGTGTCCTTCTACGTCATTAACAAGTCAACAACTAACATTACTTTTTTCATTCTCCAGAATATTATGAAATGATCAACAATTCGCTGTTGAATAGTGGGCACGAAAGAGACAAAAATATGTCTTGAACATACGTAAATGAATAAGACAAGACAATTATTAATATTATCGTTCATATAATTTCACATATAATGTACATAACTGTTTTCAGGGCTGGGCAACTCCGTCGAAGTTCAACTCCAACTCCG